TGTGTGTGTGTGTGTGTGTGTGTGTGTGTGTGTGTATACATATCGGGAGAATGGTATTTCTTATTCATTTGGGCTTTTTTAAATTATCTGTACTTCCTAATTTTCCTTCACTGTACATATAAAATCCTCCTTGATTGAAGGAAAGACCAAAAAATGAAGTCCTTGTCAAGTTATAAAGTGGGATTATGTTCCTTTATCTTCTAAAACATATTTAGTAATACAACTGTGCTCCCTTCCTTGCCAAAATGAAAAAGTTCATACATATAGTGTATAGGGCCCCCGACCCCATCCCCAGGCAAAGATAAAACAGGAACTGCCTTCCTCCTCCCTGTTCTGATCCCTGGGGGCCCCAGCTTCCCCTGGAAAGCCCCCTCAACACAGTGAGCAGGTCCATGGGGGTTCCTGGGAGAGGAGACAAAAAGCCAAGAGGCTGGTGTTATCACAGTTACTTTATTGCATCAGAGTTCAGACCACCCCTAAGTCCAGCCCCACTGAACTCCTCCTTCCGTACAAAGGAAGGCCTTTGTATAGGTTTTTCCTCTACCAGGAATGCACTTCTCCATTCACCCTTTCCAACCCAAGACCTTGAGGGTCACAGGCAGCACTGATTATTCCCCTCCTCAGTGCTTCCCCTGACAGGCCATTCTGATGTGAAAGCTTTTATCATCCTGCATGGATCCACAAGCCAGCTGGTGGCCTGCCTCTGAGCAGAGGCCCAGGAAACACTGAAAGCCTAACTGAACGGTGATCAAGGAAACCAGGAGACAGGCTGGGAACAGGATATGCAGGACATCAAGGCCGGAACTAGAAAGGCTGGGGGCTCACCGGGTGGGGAGATGACTGAAGAGGTATGGGGCACTGATGGGATCCATTTCCACTTAACACAATCTTCTATCTTTGGGGACTTCCTGGAACTCTAAAGCTCCAGGCTGGAGGTCAAAGAATGGTAAGAGTAGGCTACACACATTAGGAGCCTCCCCCTTTCCTATCCACCAATGACATCTGGGTAGAGGGGGTTTGCTGAGCCCTCTTCTGCCTTTCAGATCAAAGCAGACTCTGGCCTGAATTCCACTGTCACTCCCTCTCAGATCATCTGGAAGCTCCAAACCAAGGTCCTGGGCCCAGCTGACCCCCAATCCTCATCCCTAGCGAGAGGCAATGGGGGGAGGCAGGCCAAGGTGGCCCACATTTTTCTCTCTTTTCCTCTCCCAGGGCAGGCCCAAGCGGTGAACCCCAGCAGCTCGCGGCCAATCCCCAAATCCAAGGACTGGCCATCACCACCCCTGGCAGCTGAGGCATACACAGAAAGTCACCGAACGCCAGACACAAACAACGTTACCAGGCCTTGTTCCCATCTGGAGCCAAGCCCGGACCCCTGGGCCCCCACTACACCTCCCTCCCTCCCTCCCAGCTGCCCACCCCCCCCCCGCCCGCCCCCGCCATTCACTGGGCCTTCCGGTTGAGTCTGTGCCGTACCAGCTGGCTCAGGAGGAACGCGGTCAGGACACTGCTGCCCACGGTGAGCAGAAAGAGGCCAGAGAAGTTGTGGGGCCAGCGGGTATGCAGAGGCTCATAGATGGGCCGCCGGGCCTCGTAGTCCAGTGCCACGGCCTCCAGCTGGGCCAGCGTGCACAGCACCAGGAAGACATGGAAGAGCTGGTGGCCCTGCCCGAAGACGTGGCAGCTGCCAGGAAACCAGCGCTCAGGCATGAAGGTGGAGAAGAAAGCGGCGGCCAGCAGGAAGAAGACCACCTGGCACTTGTGGTAGAGAAGAGCCGGGTCGTCTGAGGTAGGGTCAGGGGACACCAGGATGCGATGCACCACGGGGCTGATGTCCAGCGCGTAGGCCAGCGCTGAGGGCACCTCCTGGCAAGTACGGCCCAGCAGGCCAGGCTTCTGGATGTACTTGTTGTAGCAGGAGCCAGTGCAAGAAAGCCAGGCGAGAAAGGCGGCCACGGGCAGGAAGACGGCCTGCACCCGGGCGTGCCAGGCAGGCTCGATGGCATAGTAGAAGTGTGCCAGGGCGCTGCCGAACTGGTACACGGCCACGCCCACGTAGTCCAGGAAGAAGAAACTGTAATGCCAGAACTCGGACTTGGCCTGCAGGAGGTGAGCCAAGGCGCTGAAGGAGAGGTAGGTGAAGGATGCGAGGAGGAGGATGAAGAGGGGCAGCGCGTGCGGGTCTCCCCAGATGCCCACGGTCCCCACGAAGACGGCCAGCCGCAGCAGCAGCACGACGGCTGCCAGCAGGTGGGTCCACACATTCACCGCCTCGTTGTGCTGCTGGAACAGCGTGCGGAAGTAGAAGTGCCAGGTCTGATGCAGCGGCCGGTAGCCCACGTAGATGTACGGCTTCCAGAAGAGCGGTGGCACTTCGGCACGGTCCACTGTGAACACGGGCTCTGGCCGCCTGGACGGCCGAGGCTCCTGGTGGGCCTGCCGCAAACTGGGCAGGAGATGGCTGAGCTTCTGGGCCACCATCGTGGCCATGGCTGTGGGCCAGGCAGGGAGCTGGGAGAGTGGCCAGAGCAAAGTCAGGGGACTGGTGTCCTCGACCCTTGATGGCACCACCAGCAGCAGCTGGGAGGCTCGGAAGCCCAGTTCTTAGTCCCTCCTTCCTGCCCCCTTGTCCCCACACTGAGTTTCAGAAGAGAGGAGTCGTCCTAAGGAAGAGCTAGCTCAGCAAGGATCCCGTGACTGTACTCCCCGATGTATCTCATGTGCCTCGAACAGTGCCTGGCATGTAGTAGATGTTCAGTAAATTTCCGAGGAATAATTAAGGAGGCTCACTACCTCAGCCATTTCCATCCCAGTCCAGGCTCCACACAGCAGCCCCTGCTGTTTCCTCCTGTGTTCATGCCGCCATCTGTGTTCATCTGGTGGTGACAATGACCTTGCTGACAGACCCGCTGCCTCTACCTTTAGCCCCTTCCGAGTGACCAGGGTCTCCCACTCACTTTCCATCACCCTACATGATCTGGCCCCTGCTACCTTTTTCCAGCCTTATCGCTCAACCGCAGTGCCCTTCACATCCAGCCATAGCCTCACCACACCACTGGGCCTGCTGTTTCCCACATGTCCTCAGGTTGACACAAGCTGTTCCCTCTGCCTGAGGCATTTTCCTCATCTTGCCTACATGGCAAACTCCTAATTATCCCTCAAAACCCGTTTCTTCTGTGATACTTTCCCCGGCCCCCCGAACCTCTGATGATGACCTCTCTACTTGAGTGCCTACCATAAGATACCAATCCTTTCACTAGTATAACGTTCCCCATGGGCATTAAACTTGCTCATGTGAGCTCACTAAGGGTAGGCAGTGTGTGTCATTATTTTGTGAACCGCTGGTGCTTAGCAGGCGGCTGGCACTCAGTACTTGTTAAATCAAAGAACATAACAGCGTCCCGGTAACATTTCATACCCTTTAAGTCTCCAACTCAAAAAGCCACTTTTGTTCCTGAAAGTCCCTGGTAACAACTGGTCTATAAAACAGCCCTCCCCCTCATCCACAACTCCCCTCAGAAGATCCCTCCTCCAGCCTTTCCATTCCCACCCATGCTTGTTAATGCCAAAGAAGTCAAATCTAACCCCTCAGCCTGCGTTCGAGACCCTGCTCCTACCCTCATTCCCACCTAACCCAAATAGCACACCCTGTGCCAACTTCCTTTCCCTCACTGAAATGCTTTTGGGCCAGGGGACCTCCTTACTGCCCCCCTCCCACTTCCCCTGTATAGGTTATACAACATAGCATATAAAACATATTCATTCATTCATCCATTTGTGCATGTAGCAAACACTGTGCCCCTCCTCTGCCTCCGATCCTGTGCTCGGTCCAGGGGAGGGCAGAGAGGAAAAAGATTTCATCCCTACCCCTGGGAACTTCATAGTATGGTGGAGTTACCGAGATGAAAACAAATCATAGCAAATGCTTATACAGTACTTGCTATGTGCAAGACACTGTCTCAAGCACTTTATGTACAATTGACTCATTTATGCTTCTTAACCCCCTGTGAGTAGGTGCTCTCATTATTCCCATTTTTCAGATAAGGAACTGAGGCATGGAGAAGTTAAGGACCCTGCATCCCCCCCCCCCCACCTAGGTAGGATCTGAACTCAGCTTGCAATCTTAACCACTGAACTGCCCTTTGCAAGACACGGTGAGAAGTGCTATTCATCAGTCCCTAATTATATACCCTATATACAGTTTGGCCCGGAACCAGTTGCTTAATTCAGGCTTATCAGTATTCACTATGGCATTCATTAAATCAAAACATCTACTGAAAAACTAGCACCTGCCAGACGACTCCCACCCCTCAAATTCTCTCTAACAAGTTTATTAGACTCAGCATCCTGGTTTTCTGTCCATCTTTCTTTCTTTCTTTCTTTCTTTCTTTCTTTCTTTCTTTCTTTCTTTCTTTCTTTCTTTCTCTGTCTTTTTTTCTGTCTTTCTTTCCTTTTTCATTTACTTATTTTGAGAGAGAGAGCAGGGGAGGAGCAAGAGAGAGAGGGAGAGAAAGAATCCCAAGCAGGCTCCAGCCTGATATGAGGCTCGGTCCCACAACCGTGAGACCACAACCCGAGCCAAAATCAAGAGTTGGACGCTCAACTGACTGAGCCACCCAGGAGCCCTGTCCATCTTTCATCAGATATTTATTGCAACTACCTGTGCACCAGTCACTGTAACAGGCAAGGAGATCCAGGGCAGGATAAAGCACTCACGTTTCTGCCACCAGCAGCACCATGATCACCCCCAAAAGCCCCCTGATAATTTATACACAGTCCAAGTAAATGCAGGGAGCTTGCCATGCAAAGGCAGCAAGACAAGCCGCCAGCCCATCAAGCCTCCTCACCCTAGCCTGAAGCTCCCCCCGCACTACACTTCTCAAGTCAGCTCTGGTCTCTGGCCTCCCCTGGTCCAATGAGGAGGCAGGAGTTAAATAAGTTACTACAGGGGCGCCTGGGTGGCGCAGTCGGTTGCTGTCCTGACTCAGCCAGGGTCACGATCTGCCCGTGAGTTCGAGTTCCGCGTCAGGCTCTGGGCCGATGGGCTCCTCAGAGCATCTTTTCGCTGGAGCCTGTTTCCGATCTCTGTGCTCCCTCTCTGCCCCTCCCCTGTTCCATGCTCTTGTCTTCTCTCTCTCATCCCAAAATGCTTGAAAAAAAAAAAATTCTGTAAGTAGCACACACACTTTCTGGGGAGTACAGGACGCCTCCACTTCCATTCCCAGACAGCTTGAGCCAGTCACTTCCCTGTCCAGACCACAACAGAACCCCTGCCTGCTAAAGTAGTGGCGGGCCTGGCAGTGAGGTCTCCTCCCCAAGAGCCTGGGCTTCAGCCTTCCACCCCCATGCCTAACTCCTCTGGTTTTCTCCTCAACTCGGAACTTGGGGAGCTGCAGTGTTGCTCTCTGAAAGACCCCTATGGGCACCTCATGAGCTTGCTAATTGAAAACAAGAGCCCAGAGACAGAGTACTTTCCCCAGCTGCTCAATCCAGCAGTGCTTCCATTCCACCCCTTAAGTGAGAAGACTGGAATGAGGAATGTGCGACAGGTCTTAGTTCCCAGTCCTCAGGACTCATTAAATACAGTCCAAGGTTCCATATCCCACCCTTAGAACTTCCCAAGGCTTCCATACCCACCCTGAGAAGTCTCAGCAAAGAAGCCAGCTTCCCTCTCAATAGAACCCCACATGTGTCAAGCTCACTCGGACTAAGTGATTCTTTTCCTAGTAATAATTATATTACAAAGCCAGCTGAATTGGGGGCACCTGAGTGGCTCAGGCCATGATCTCACAGCTCGTGGAAGTCTGAAGCCCCGACAGTTTCCTTCTGCAGTTGACAACTCCCTACTGGAGCCTGCTTCAGATTCTGTGTCTCCCTCTCTCTCTGCCTCCCCTCAAGACATTCTGCTCCTCTCTCAAAAATAAATAAACATTTGAAAAAAAAAAAACCAAAACCAGCTGAAATGTAGTAAGTGTTTACTATGTGCTCAGTCTTTATAACCTTGTTACAATTAATTCTCATAACTAGCCTTTTGAGGTAGGTATTATTATGCCCATTTTGCTGCTGAAGACAGTGAAATTCAGAGAGGTTAGGAGCTCCTTCCCAAGGGAGGAACATGGACAGAGAAACAGAGAGAGAGAGACAGAGACAGAGAAGCCAGAATTTGGACCCAGCTCTCTGACTGCCAAGTACAGGCACTCTTAGCCACTCTGCTGCTGCCCTGCCTCCTGTCACACCAATCTCCATCATACTTTGGAAAAGAATGGTCTAAAGCAGGTAGCCAAGGCCTTTCCCATTAATTATTTCCTTAGTCTTCCAGCAACTGACACACATCTAGAGACCTCAGCCTCCCCACATTACCAAGCCACCCACTGGCTCTACACCAACGAAGCCCTATCTCACAGCTCCCTCCTCAGGTGGCAATAGGTCACTCAGGGCCCTCCTCCTCCACCAGACGCAGTGGACCCTAAGCACAGACCCCAGAGGCTCCATCCTGGGATAAAGAGATCCTGTTCCCTACTTCCTTTAGACTTCACCCAGCAGCCCCATTCCATCTGAACAGGTCTGTTTTCGGAATTCGTTCCCATCTCCTGACTCCAGGGGAAAGGAGCAGGTGCAGGGGTCCAGTAAGAGCTGGAAGGATGAGGGGAGGGATCCAGAGGCCACCCTCAGAGAATCCTGAGTCATCTGCCCACCAGGCTGCCAGGACCTGCCTGCTTCAGGGCCCCCCTTCCTGGCCCCCCTCCAAACCTAGGTTACCTAGGGAATTTTCTCGAGCCTGGGGGCTGATGGATTCTGCTGTGGGACTGGGCAAATTCTCCAGATGCCAAGCACCTGTGGTACTTCCACAGGTGAGGGTCACTAAGGGCGGGGCTTCCAGGGACTGGAGGTTGTCTTGTGTGATGTCACCAGAGGGTGGGGCTAAAGACAACCTCCACCTCTCCCTTCCCCTCCCCAACACCATTCCCACATTGGTCAAATCCAGGCTAACCACTGCCCTCCTAGCCAGGCCACGGCTGCACAAGGAAGCTCAGCATTAGCCTCCACGGGAAACATCTGGGAAAACCCAGTGGCTGGCTACAAAGTTATGACTTACCCAAGATCACACGGCAAGGCAGGCAAAGCTGGGCTGAGACCAGGTGACCAGGGCCTGGTTGATGGGTGTCAGGAAAACTTGACTGGCTTCTGTCCCCCTACTCCCCAGGAATCATAATGGAAAGAAGTTAGGACTGAAGGAGAAAGCAGACACTATGAAGGCTCATGAAGGAGATGGACTTCAGATTCAGACAAACCAGGTTTGACGCCTGCTTCTGTAACATGCTAGCTTTGTGATCTAAGACAAGCGACTCACCTTCTCTGATCCTTAGTCCCTCATGGGAATTACAATATCATCTATGGCACAGACTGCTTATAAGGATCTAACTTTATTCGGACAAATTTTTAGCACAGTTTAGCAACTTGATAAATGATTGCTACTATTACTAATTATC